AAATAAATGTGCTTATAAAGAGGTTTTTATATGATGTGCTTATATAGGGGGTGACTATAAAGGGGGAAGACTGTATTCGAAAAATCAAAAAAAAAATTTTGTGTATATTTATAAAAAAAATAAAAAATATATTAATTATCTTTTTTTTTTTAATTAATTGATAGTCCGCCTTAACTGAATAGTAAATGATCTACATTAATTAATAAAATTTAACGGGTATTAAATTAAAGAAAAATTTTTAACTTGAAATGTCAAAAAACTGACTACTAAAAACCTTTAAAAATGAAACGAAAAAACAAATACTTAGTTGCTTTACTTGACCAAGGTCGAATAGAACCAAGTTTACACTTCGGACCTTATGCACGTGAATGGTGGACTCAACGAGTTCAAGATTCTGGAAATTTAGTAACTATACCATATCGGCTCTATATGAGTGTTGCTATAGAATTAAATCAAAGACAATTTATAATTTCTGTTTTTAAATCTGAAACCAACTATTATCAACCTGGATTTATTTGTAGTAGTGGTGAATATAGTTCATCGATTTTATCATCACCTTTTATGGCTATAAATTCAGTATATTTGTTGATTTTTAAAACTAATACAGAATATTCTGGTCTAGCTGTTATGGGATTTGATAATATACATATTGTTAATAAAATATATGAAAACATTTTTTATTTTCCAATTTTCTTAAAAATAGAACCATACAATATTGTTATATCAGACTGTAGTTCTTTACCAAACAAATTTATTTCTTTATTGTTAATAACTAAAAATAGCCAAAGGTGTCTTGTATTACAACAAATTATAGATGACAGATTCATTCTAGACTTTTACTTAAAAACTACTATAATTGCACATTACGAAGATGAAACAGCAAATGGCATATGGAAAAAAACTAATCTAAAACTAAAACATGATGAAATTACATTATTCAGATTTAATCATTCATTAGTAATTGAAAAATTTAATGAATTAAATAATGAATCTAAGCATACTTGCAAACCACATGAATGGCAACTTCCAGATGTATTAGAAAGAATTTATAATCACTATATAAGACCTCGAAAAATTGATTAATCCAAAAAATAAATCAATTAAGAATTCAACTCAATATTTTACATCACATCTTACTTTGTGGAATTCGATTCATTACAAGATAAACAGTCATCAAGATTATGAAAATATAGATAAAACTTTTTTCAAGTTTAACTTAGAAAAACCACTAGGTAATCATTATAATCAGAAAAGGATGAATAATTATATAAGATTTTACCTCAAAGATTATAATAAAAGAAGTGAAAATTTATATAAGTATATAGAAGCATTATTATATATATATATATAAATATTTGAATAATATATTTTTTTTTATAAATAATAGAACAAAGAGAGTTATGAAGTGAAGATGCCACAAGAGATATAATTATTGAATATATTGGATACCTTCACAAATGACATATATCTTCAAAAGAGAAAATTGAAAATAATAAAGTGTTTAATAGAAGAAGAGCATGAAAAATTTAGGTATATACAGCTTACGTAATATTTTTAATCTTTGTATAACTTTATAATAATTAATATAATTTGTATTAATTATATATATATTTAGAAAGCAAAAAAATGATATGAATATACAAAACTTATGAATTTTGATGAATTAGATCAATCTTTATCTGATATTGAAAAAGTAATAAACCTAAATATACAAGTCCAGAAATTAGTAGTGAAGAAAATGAAGAAGATATATTTTATATTGTTCAAATTCCATGGCAAAATCAAGTGTAAGTTTATAGTTTAAATATAAATTTTGTTTAATTAATAATATAACTTATTTAATTTATATTTATATAGGTTTGTGAACTAATTCAAAAACTTAATCAAGAAAATGAAAAAAAAGAAAGATTTTCAAAGTGTTAGAAAAAACACAAAGGTAGTCTATCTATATTACATATTGAAGTAAATCAAGATCATGAATGATTTGATAATTTAAAGACCCATTTACCTGCTGCTCCTAATTCAGATAATGTTAATGATAGTATTTGGCCAGCTTGGGCTTTATCAGATAATCATGATAATGCTAATCATGACTTCGAATCTGATAATTAAATTGTTTTTTAGTAAATATTTTAATATATTTTTATAATAATTTAAATTATAATTTAATATTTATCACATATTTTTTAATAGAAAACAA